ATTTCTGTACATATGCACAAACAAAGTTTATTTATCTAAATAATTTGCGTTTTCCTCTTGCAGCGGAATACTTACGCGCATCTCACTCATTTCCTTCTTCTATGAGTTAGGCATGTCTGGCATAAACAGTATATTACTGGTGTGTCTTCTTTGTGAAGTTTTTATATGGTTCATGATTTGATTATGCTGTCTGGAGAAGTATAATTTGATTACGTTGTTGAATGTTTATATAATTTGAGTAACTTGTTGTTGTCACGGTGTGAACTCACTTGGAAATTTTTTTGCAGTACTATCTGAAATCAGCTTTTGGATTTGATAAAAATCAGTTCTCAGAAATTCTGATTATGGTCGGCGTTGGCTCCATATTTTCTCAGGTGCCTTTTTAAAGCTTATTAAACTCTAGAAATACTTCGGCAGTAGCTGGTGTTAGAAAGTACATAACCACCTACCCGCTACAGTAAATATCACATATTTACTACTGTAGCAACAATGCATACCTACCACAAAATCACCTAAATATAACCCTCCTAACCTTAAATTGAGATCATCCCAGAAGCAACCCCACATATAGAAGAGTGAGAGAAAAATAGATAGTTTTTTCTTGTATAGAGAGATTGTAACTCCAAAAAATTTTCTTCATGGTGGATTCTTCTATCATTACCCGTGATTTTTTACCTCAAATTCATTTAGGGGGTTTTCACGTAAATCTGTGTGTTCATTTTATTACTTCTGCTCTACTATTCACTGAGACTCTGCTCTATTAGACTCCGGGTTTGTTCCAAAAAGTGATATCAGGGTCTGTCTTAGGGTGCATGTATCTGTTTATCATATGCTCTATGGTTGCTACTAAAAGTGGATCCTTCACATCAGAAAATAAGATAGATTATTATTTATCCTTTGAATGCATTTGGCACTATTCACGAGCACAGTACTATTCACAAATATGGTTACTGTTCATATGAAATCGTAAAAGTTGTTGTTCGTGATAGAAGTAATGGCGACAAAGTTCGAGATCGAGAAATTCAATGGGAGTAATTTCTCACTGTGAAAATTAAAGATAAATGCTATCTTGAGAAAAGATAATTTTCTAGCAGCCATCGGTGCGAGGTCGGACGATATCACAGATGATAAAAAGTAAAACGAGATAGACAGAAATGTTATTGCTAACTCCATCTAGCATTAGCAGATGGGGTACTGTCAAGTATAGAGGAGAAGAAAACAACAAAGAGTTCGGATACTCTAACAAAACTATATGAGGTTAAATCCCTGCACAATAAAATCTTCTTAAAAAAAAGACTTTACACTTTGAGGATGACGGAATCTACATCGATGACCGACCACATCAACACTCTAAACACTATTCTTCCAACTCATAGCGCTGGGGCATACAATTGATGTGAATGAACGTGCAAAAGTTCTACTTCAAAGTCTACCTGATTCGTATGATTTGTTGCGCGCAGCGGAAATTTCGGCAGCACTTCGGCAGCACAACAAGAGAGTCAGATCGCAATAAGAATTCCCGTCTCACCAAGGAGACAAGAATCTGAAGCGGATATCTCAACCAAGTGAGATATCGGCTCTTCCTCTCATCAGTTCTAGGACTGACCTGTCGAGGGATCCTAAAAGCTATTACAAATCACACAAAAGCAGTACAATCAATTTTTACGTGGTTCGGCAAATTGCCTACGTCCACGGGGCAAGGAGGGGGAGATCTACTAATAGAGGGAGAGAATACAACTAGGGTTTACAATCACTCTCAAACTAAACCCTCAAACAAACTCTCAAATCCCTCACAAATATCTCTCACAAAAGAAAGAAACACAAAAGCCTGCACTTAAATCTCCTGCAGCAAATTTCCCTGCAGCTGCAAAACTCCCAACCTGCAGCCGCCAAACTTCCGTGATCTGCGTCTCTGTTCCGCAGTCACAAAACAAAACGAAACTCCTGCTTGCCGAAGAAATCCCAAGCCGACAAAACAAACCCACCTCGCACACGGAACCCTAGGAACAAAATAATATATATAGGCAGCTATTTGTAAAAGCGGGTGGGCCTTGGGTCCGTGTTCACGTCCGCGTTCACAATTCTCCACCTCGGTGAAGTTTTCCCAAAACTGAGCCGACACCAAAGCATCCAAAATGTCCCACTTGTTGTGTCCAGTACGAAGTGAATCCACAACAAGTCGAGAACCTAAACGAGAGCTCAAACAATCTCACCCCCATCAAAATCAACTAATCCAAACCGGCTGCATCTGAAAGACTGCCTACGTATCCTCTTGCCCAAGGAATCAAGCCGAACGTAGTTCATCCAAATGGCCGCCAACGGCCTCAACAATCACGAATATGCAACAAGTTTCGACAATGATCAAACTTGTTGCTCGGAACCACCTTAGTGAGCATATCCGCCGGATTATCCTTCGTGTGGACCTTCACAATTTCCACATCGCCATCTTCAAGAACATCCCGAACGAAGTGATAACGAACGTCAATGTGCTTCGTCCGCGCATGAAAAACCTGATTCTTCGCCAAATAGATAGCACTCATGCTATCACAATGAATAGTGACAGACCTCTGCGATATACCAAGTTCCTCCAAAAGTCCTCGAAGCCAAATAGCCTCCTTCACAGCCTCCGTAACTGCCATATACTCTGCCTCCGTCGTAGACAAAGCCACCGTCGACTGTAAGGTGCATCTCCAACACACCGGCGCACGGGTCAAAGTAAACACATACCCCGTTGTAGACCGGCGCTTATCCAAATCCCCGGCATAATCCGAATCAACATAGCCAATGCATAGCTGCCCACCTGTAGTGTTTCGCTCATAAACCAAACCAACATTGAGCGTACCTCGAATGTACCTCAAAATCCATCTCACGGCGTCCCAATGACCCACTCCTGGATCGTGCATGTATCTCGATACCATGCTTACCGCCTGTGACAAATCTGGTCTCGTACATACCATCGCGTACATCAAGCTCCCAACCGCACTCGCATATGGAGTCTTCGACATCAACTCACGATCTTCAACTGACTTCGGTGAAAGACCAGCTGAAAGCTTCAAATGGGCTCCCAAATGACAGGTGTCTGTCCTTTGGGATTGGAAACAGGCTGTGTTTCCAAGACTACAAAATCTACTGGAAAAATAAAATCTCCAACCTTAATCAGAACATCCTCTAACTCACCCATAGGGACCTTAACAGATCTATCAGCCAACTTTAAGATGCATTTGGTTGGGTTCAGTACACCTAGACACAATTGCTGATAGACTGAATATGGAAGCAAATTGACACTGGCCCCTAAGTCTAAAAGCGCCTTATCAATGTGAGTATTACCAATGATACATGAAATGATGGGGGAACCTGGATCTTTACGTTTCAAAGGTATGGGATTTGACAGCATTTCACTGATATTGGCGGCTAAAAAGACTTTCTTTGGAACATTTATTCTCCTCTTCTTAGTGCATAATTCTTTTAAAAATTTAGCATAAGATGGAATTTGTTCAATTACATCTAAGAGAGGAATGTTGACCTTAACCTGCTTGAATGTCTCTAGGATTTTCTCCTCCTGAGGAGAGTGTTTCCTAGACCTGAGTCTATCTGGAAAGGGAGCAACCGGTCTAAATCTATCAAAAGCAGGCTCAGGTTCGGGTTCAGGTTCTTGGTCATCTGAGGGGAGTGATTGTTGAATAGATTCATCAGAAGGAGAAGGAGAAGGAATTTGTACAGGATCAAGAGTTTGACTTGGCGGAGTTCTCACTTGATTATCGACCTGTCTACCTGACCGAAGTGAATGGATTGCATTCACTTGAGCTTCACTTCGTAGGATGAACTGCATCCTGTGTTCTTAGGGTTGACCACGGGTTGACTTGGAAATTTTCCTTTCTCTCTTTCACTCACGGCACTAGCTAGTTGACTAAGTTGAGATTCCAATCTAGCTATAGCTTGAGTGTTGGAGTTGAGCATTTGTCCGGTTGATTGCATGAAGGAATTCAGCGTGCTAGACGTTTGAGTCAACATATTCGTGGTTTGAGTAGAGGCCTTAATTATGGTTTCTAAACCCCTTTCCAAGACATTGAGACGTTTATCTTGATCTGGATTGTGAGGAGTTTGAATTACAGCTTGATGAGGAGGAGACTGATTTTGATACGGCAGATTGGGTTGTTGAAATTGTGAATGAGAATTGAATGGAACTGTGTTTCCCCTAGGAAAATGTTGGGTCGAAGCGGGAGTGAAATTTTGAGTTCCGGGAGAATTTCCTAGATTCCATGCAAAGTTGGGATGATTTCTCCAACCTGGATTGTAGGTTGGAGAAAATGGATCATTTCTAGGGTGCTGGAATGCAGCGTTCATCTGTTCTAATGAATGATTGTTTCCTAAGAGAGGGCATTCCTCTGAAACGTGGGTAGGAGACTGACAATTATGACATCCTGGGAAAGAAACATGATTGAGTTGAGCTGGAGCTCGTTCCTTAATTTCTAAGGCTTCTAACCTCCGCAGAATTGTCGCCATCTTCGCTTCAGAAGCAATGTTTGACTCCAAGGAAAGACCACTAGACTTAGAATGGGGAACTGATGAAACCCTGTCATCGCACTGTTCCCATTGCATTGTTTTTTCAGAAAGACTCTCCAAAAACTCCCAAGCTTCATCAGCATTTTTCCTCATAAAATCCCCGTGGCACATTGATTCTAAGGAAGTTTTTGCAGAATAATCTAATCCCTCATAAATTATTTGGCACAATCGCCATTTCTCTAAACCGTGATGAGGACATTGGATGAGAAGATCTTTAAATCGGTCAAAATACTTCCAAAAAGGTTCTCCCGGGATAATTTTAAAGTTTTGAATGCTGTTCCTAAGCTTTACCGTTTTATGAATAGGAAAAAATTTCTTAAGAAAAACGGTGACAAATTCATCCCAAGTTGAGATGGAATTTGTTGGTAAGCTGTACAGCCATTTTTTAGCTTTATCCTTAAGAGCAAATGGAATAAATCTAAGCTTAACCGCATCTTCATTTAATTCTCTCATTTTAATCATAATACACACTTCCTCAAATTCCGAAATAAAAATATATGCGTCTTCTGTTTCATTACCAAGGAATTTGGGAAGCATGTTTATGTATTGCGGTCTAAGCTCAAAACTTATTCCATTTGTTTCGGGGAGCCTAATGCATGAGGGGATTGCATTCCTAATGGGATAGCACATATCATGAAGAACGGGTGGATTAGGATGCTCCATTTCTATGATTGGTTCAAAGCGAATTAATCGATGTGTATTATCCCTAATCCACTGTTGCATACACCAAAATATTTCTTTTTATTATTTTTTTTATTTTTTATTTTTTTTCAAAAAAAGAAAGAAAATTAGTTTTTTTTTAGAAGATAAAGAAAAAGAAAAATCCTAACTGAAACAAATCAAAACAATCACTTTTCAATCAACTCTAATTCTAGGGTTTAGCCTAACTCAACTAGACCAGCTCCTAACCAAAAACTCCTACAGTGAAAAGATCAAAGTTTTACCCAGGTAGTTAGCCAGGTAAGGATAGTACTAGAGGGTGATCAAAGATCAATTAAGTACCTCTTTCCTTGCGGAGCGCTTTACGCAACCCCTAAACCTTGCCTTAGACACCAACTAATCTGAGAAAACTTAAACCGGTTCACTTAAGGATTTCTTGTTCCTTATTGAGCTCGAATCCTTAGGGGCCAACGTCTAATGAGTTTTATTAGGCTTGGGTGGTGTAGTGAGGAATTAGTGATTTTTGGGCTAAGGAAAGGGTGATGAAATCCCTCACCTTATCTTGATTATGGGGTTTTGCCCTTAAAAATATTTTTAAGTGTGTGTCAAATCAAGATGCTCAAATCACTTGGTGAATTCCTACACTATATGAAATGCAACCCTATGAATTAAAAGCAACTAAAAAGGATGGAAAAGAAAAATCTTTTTTTTTAATTAGGGTTAACAATCAAACAAATGAGAAGGGGGGATTTGTTTGAATTTATTATCTTGTTAGTAAATGTCAAAGTGGAGGATGAATTTTATTATGGTCAACAAAAAATAAAATCTCTTCTTCTTTTTTAAGTCCTAATTGTCTCTAATTGTGAAGAAGTAGCTAAAGGGTGGAATTAAAAACTAGAAAGAGGACTTACCTGAAAGCAAATCTTCAAATCCTAGCTCTCCAATCCGCGATCTTCAAGCTCCAAGCGTTTCCTTCACAAAAAACACACAAGTTAAAGAACCAAAATAATTAAAACCTACTTAAGCACCTTCCCCGGCAACGGCGCCAAAAACTTGATGCGGCATAAACATGTACCAAAAAGGTTCTCTGATACCACTTGTTGCGCGCAGCGGAAATTTCGGCAGCACTTCGGCAGCACAACAAGAGAGTCAGATCGCAATAAGAATTCCCGTCTCACCAAGGAGACAAGAATCTGAAGCGGATATCTCAACCAAGTGAGATATCGGCTCTTCCTCTCATCAGTTCTAGGACTGACCTGTCGAGGGATCCTAAAAGCTATTACAAATCACACAAAAGCAGTACAATCAATTTTTACGTGGTTCGGCAAATTGCCTACGTCCACGGGGCAAGGAGGGGGAGATCTACTAATAGAGGGAGAGAATACAACTAGGGTTTACAATCACTCTCAAACTAAACCCTCAAACAAACTCTCAAATCCCTCACAAATATCTCTCACAAAAGAAAGAAACACAAAAGCCTGCACTTAAATCTCCTGCAGCAAATTTCCCTGCAGCTGCAAAACTCCCAACCTGCAGCCGCCAAACTTCCGTGATCTGCGTCTCTGTTCCGCAGTCACAAAACAAAACGAAACTCCTGCTTGCCGAAGAAATCCCAAGCCGACAAAACAAACCCACCTCGCACACGGAACCCTAGGAACAAAATAATATATATAGGCAGCTATTTGTAAAAGCGGGTGGGCCTTGGGTCCGTGTTCACGTCCGCGTTCACACAACCGATCATCAATCTAACAAACGTCCTTACAGACTATCTAGTCTTCGACGATATTGCAGCAGCTATTCTGAAGGAAGAAAATCAGTACAAGAACAAAGAGGACAGGCAAACAAGTTCGCAACAAGCCGAGACCTTATCGGCGATTTGAGGAAAATCAACGGAACGTGACTCCAGTGGGAATCATACTCGTGGTAGATCAAAATTAAGAAGTAAGAAGAATATCAAAATTAATTCCATCTCAATTCTAATGACCTTTTTGACCAGTTTGTATCTTTATTCTAAACTATCTTTAAAAAATGAACGGCAGTGTCGTCGTGTCAGCGGTTATACAGATACCTTATAAACGTCTGGTCCGTCATCTGTTGATATTTCTTATTAACTGATGGTGCTTAGAGCGCTTACACTGTCATTGGTAGTGTCATCAGTAGCTGGATTACTGCCTTGTATTACTTGGAATGCTCACTTAGCTATTTTTCCCCCCCTAGATTTTGTTGCTTCCACTTATCAATCCGTGTGTTGGAGAAAAAGGAGTACTGTGCATAGCTTTGATTTCTTCAATTGCTGATGTAAGTCTTTGCAAAAATCACCTGATATCTGTCTGCTGGTAGATATCTGCAACTTGCTTAGTCTTCTACACACAACTTGCTTTTAATTGGAAATACTTTCTTGTCTTGCAGGCAGTACTTTATGGTTTGGCTTGGGCACCATGGGTATAATATTGTCATCTGTTAGTCTACTTTTTCAACCAGAGATAATGGACTAAGAAAGAAAATGAACTTTTTTCCTTTTTTGAGGTTTACAAAGTTGCATTATTCATGCAGGTTCCTTACCTCAGTGCATCATTTGGTGTCGTTAATGTTCTTGTGAAACCATCTGTAAGCAACAAATGACACGAGATTTTATCCTTTTATAGCAATTTTTTTATTGATTAACAATCTGAATCCGATGCTTTATAATTGCATAAAGGAATAGACGAGTATTTGATGTTACTATATATTTATCAAATATCACTTGCGTATACTTCAAATTGCTTGAACTTGTTATCAACTTTTCCCCTCAAGCCAAATCAGATTCAAATTCTAACTATGATACCTTCACCTCTTCAGACTTATGCTATCGTATCGAAGGCTGCAATTGCTACTGATCAGGTATGATCGTCTTTTTGACTGCCTGTGACAAGTATGGCTCTAGTAATTTTTTGTGTGGAAGACGAGTAGCCCAATCCATAGTGTATGGTTGATCATGCTAATCTCTCTGGCTTGTAATAAACTGATCATCGAATTTTTACAGGGAAAGGCACAGGGATTTATTGCCGGTGTGCAGGCGGTTGCCAGCTTGTTATCGCCTCTTGTGATGAGTCCATTGACATGTAAGTAACACCATTTTAATTTCTCCTGTAAGACCATATGCAGCAGGGGTTATTTGAAGAAATATTTGGTTGCAGCAGGGGCTTTTTGAAAAGGTGAATCAAATTGACAAGGCCAAGGGGTGAAAAATTCACCCCGGGTATTTCTGACAAGGCCACGCGCGGACAGGTCTGGCGCATGCCTGCCAGCTGCCGCGTGGCGAAATTTGATTGGGCGTCAATTTTTGTTTTCCTCCTTATTTTTAATTGATATTTTTTGAGATAAATACAATGAATTAATTTATAATTTTTATACCATTAATTTTCATTTTTCAAACTCTATAAATAGAGATTAACTTTGTGTCATTTGGACACCAAAAAAAAATCTGAGTTTCTACACCCTATTCTTCTTCTTTCTACAATTTGAAGCTAGTTTCTTCATGGATCCTTCACAAAACTATCCTAATTTTCCCTAAACCTCAAAATCCCCTCCCTCAACCACAACATCCCAATATACAACGCCCCGAAAATACTCAAAATACGAGGATGCAGCCCAATTTTCAAATGCCGTACATGATGCAACCAAATTTCGGCATGCAATATCCTTATCTTCCTTACGGTTATCTTCCAGTTCCGGGAAGCAGCTATGTTCCCTCCCATATGAATTGTCCTAACACGGAGTCGAGTGAGCCAGCGACACCCCGGTTTAGTAGCGGATCTACAGATATCCCAGAATTTTCCACCCAAATGTCTTTGGGAAATGTTGGTGGGGATACTCCTCACAGTTTTCTCCCTCCAACCCAACAATCAGCAAAGAGATCAAGTTATGAAACTTGGACCACCGAAGACAACATACTTTTACTAACTGGTTATTTTCACGTTAGTAATGATAGTGAGTTGGGGAACAACCAAAAGGGTGAAACTTTCTGGGGTAAAATTACACAGTACGTGAATGAGAACGCCAAAAGTGGAAAGGAGAGGATTGTGTCTCGGTGCCATAGTCATTTCAAAGACATCAACAGAAAGATATCCAGTTTCATTGGCTGCTACAGTACTGCATGTAGGGAGAAGCGTAGCGGTTGGTCCGATGAAAACTACATATCCAAGGCAAGAGAGTTGTACTTTGAGAAAATAGGTACGACGTTTAATTTGGTGGATGAGTGGAAGGTGGTTCGTAATCAACCCAAATATATGACAGGAGGAAATGCATCCGGTAGTAGTGGCTCTAAAAGAAAGAGTAGTGGTGAGGATGTTGAATCATCAACTCCTACCCTTGTACGTCCAGAGGGTAGAGACGTGGCAAAGAAGAAAGCTAGAGGTTCCTCTAGTAAAACATCTGTGTCAAGGAAATCAAAGGGGGCAATTGAGGAGGAGTTATCTAAGCTAGTCAGTGCTCATGAAAAATTTGAAGAGAAAAGATCAAGTACTGCTTCAGCTATGAATAACCTGGCTCATTCCAAGAATATGGAGATGTGGTTATTCTTGAAAAACAAACCAGATCGTGACGATGAAGATGAAGAAGCTTATAATATGTTGAGGAAGAACCTGTTTGGAAAATAAGACCTTCTCAAGAAGTTATGATTGTGTGTTTTCTTTCTGATGTTTTTGTGTGCCGTTTGTTTAATTTTGGAGTTGTGTGGGTGCCTATGTTTGTTGAATGTATTAATAAAAGTGATGTTTATGTTTGAATAAAATTGTTGTTTATGTTTCAATAAAGCCGATTGATATTGACTTCTCACTGCATAATAGTACAAAAGATACAATTACTACTCACTGCAAAAACAAACAAATGTTGAATTGACCTTTCACTGCAAAAAATACAAAGGATGAAATGACTACACCTGCATAATAATACAAAATATGAATTGACAACTCTCTGCACATGCATGCCCTATGACACATGTCTCTGCAATTGCATGTGAATTCAATTATTTGAACAACTACCCTTCATTATATAAACTGATCAGATGCACATCATAAGTATACCTATCAACATTTCAAAAATCATAGCATCCAATGGATCCTTTCCTAAATGAGTTTAGTCTAGAAGAGTTCCAACAACAATGGGAAATAGAAGAAAAAATACTTGATAGGCAGCGAGAACTTCTTGAAGAATTGCAAAGGAGAAGCGAACAACCACGTAAGAGGAAATCCATACATAGAGATCATCATGCAGCGCATGAGAGACTCATGGCCGACTACTTTGCCGAGTCATGCACTTACACTGACGCCCAGTTCCGACGCAGGTATCGAATGAAAAGGCCTCTCTTTCTACGAATTGTGGACTCTATATCAAATTACGACGATTACTTCACACAACGGCGCAATAATGCGGGCAAGCTTGGGTTAACGCCTATCCAGAAGTGTACGGCTGTCATATGCATGCTCGCATATGGAGTCGCAGCCGATGCTTGTGATGAGTACGTCAAGATAGGAGAATCCACTGCTATCGAGTGTACTCGCAAGTTTTGCGAAGGGGTAATAGCATTGTTTCAAGATGAATACTTACGACGACCAAATGTGGAAGACTTGCAGAGGTTGCTCCAAGTTGGACAGGAACGTGGATTCCCAGGGATGATTGGAAGTATTGATTGCATGCACTGGCAGTAAAAAAATTATCCTAAGGCTTGGCAAGGGCAGTTTACTAGTGGACACAAGGGGACGGCAACAGTTATCCTCGAGGCAGTTGCGTCATATGATTTGTGGATATGGCATGTTTTTTCAGGGCTTCCTGGTAGTTTGAATGACATAAATGTACTAGATAGGTCACCGGTTTTTGACAACATTGAGTCGGGTGAAGCTCCACGGGTAAACTTCACCGTGAATGGGCGGGAGTACAATCTTGCATACTATCTTGCCGACGGAATCTACCCTAAGTGGCCTGTCTTCGTGCAGTCAATTCAAATGCCCCAAGGCAACAAACATCAATTTTTTGCCAAACAACAGGAATCATGCAGGAAGGACATGGAACGCGCATTCGGGGTACTCCAAGCACGCTTCGCTATTGTCCGCCAACCAGCTAGAATGTGGGATCTTGATGTCTTAGAAAAAATAATGAGGGCATGCATTATTTTACATAACATGATAGTAGAGGATGAACGAGATACGTATTCGCGAAACTGGGAAAATATCGACTTTGAACCGTCGAACAATGCTAGCTCTAGCGCCTCTTTCAATGTTCAAACAGACGTGTTGCCGGAGTTTCAAGTCCATGTTCAACACCGATCTGAGGCAGATAATCAGACTAGAGCGGAACTACGAGATAAGACCCAACATATTCAGCTGAAGAAGGATCTCATCGAGCACATTTGGCAGAAGTTTGGGACAACCTCCGATTAAATTTTTACCAATTTAGTGTGTGTTTTCTGGCATGTTTTCAATAATTTGGGTGTGTTTGGTTTTCCGTATGCTTAATAAAACCGTGTGTTATTTTATGTTAACATAAAAATATTATTGAAAATTAAATTAATAATATATATTTAAATATTATATATTATTTATTGAATTATTAATAAATTATAATTATAAATATATGAGTTATATTAATAATAATAATAATAAAATAGTAATATATATGAAATAGGAAAAAGAATGAATAAATATGGTGGGGTATATGTTGAAGTGAAGTGGTTTATGGTGGGTCCCAAATAAAGTAAAAAACTTTCTGAAAAATCTCCTGCTGTAGAGTTGATAGGGAAATGAAGATTATTGAATTAAATAAAGTGATGTGGCAGGAGAGAAGGAGGTGAAATTTCACCTCCTGCTGGAGATGGTCTAAAGGGACTTCCAGCTAAAATCAGGTTTCATTCTTTTCTTGAGGATGCTTTACCTTAAAACTTCTAGGGATGGGCAATTGCCTTTTTCAAATGAAGAAAGTTTACAAGAAATCTGAAGCTATACGAGTTTAATTACCAACTTAGCTCATGCATGTGTCCGTTCAATTTTCAGCTCTCTTTATATCGAGCGAGGCTCCATTTAACTGCAAAGGTTTCAGCATACTCGTGGCATCTATCTCCCTGGTAACACTTTATACTAAAGGGCTGTTTGGTTGGCTTTTTTTGTTTGGGTTTCCCTGTTAAAACTGACAAAAGCTGTCAGTTTTGACGGGGAAATAAGGGCAAAAAATGCCAACCAAACAGCCCCTAAACCTTTGAATCAGCGGAATACCCGGTATCATTTCCCCCTTTTTTTTATTTTTTTTATTAATCGATCCAGTTTTTATCGTAGGCTATTGCTCTAGTGTATGCTTGCCAGCTAGATACAGGGAATAGAGACAGAAGTGCAACTCGTGACAACTCATCACCTGAATCTATTGAAGCGCCCCTTCTCATAGAAAGCATTGGGTAGAGCCTTTGATCTCTAGCTGCTGATTGACAACCAAGATACGGTACAAAAGCACGCTCAATGGCTTTATTGTCACGGCAAATCTCCTTAACAGTCTTTTCCCCTCGTATGCAAAGCTGTGTTGTGCTGTTATTATTAGGATGAGTTTTGCTATGGGGGATCCCGACTAAATTTACAGCGCACCGGTAGATTTCGCTGTAAGCGGGGGAGCTGATAGTATTTGCACAGCGTCATGCAACCCTAGCTCCGGTTGTTGTTTGTACACTTTCGATCCGAAAGTTGAGAGCAACTTCTCTTTAGAAGTTGGCCAGAATTTTCTTTTTGCCTCTATACGTGAATGTATCTGTTGTTCCGACTACTATGTCTAACCGCTGCATTTAGAGATGCGATTTAAGACCTGGTCTAATTTGAATAGGCGTAGGTACCGTATTGTTGCGCGCCTATACGGGAGCGTGCTCGCACAACGAACGAATTTGTAAGCACGAGAGAAGAGAACCAATCCACACACGAGCACAATTCAATCCAAAATACGACAAATCAAACCAAACACAGAGATATACGTGGTTCGGCAATTTGTCTACGTCCACAGGATGGGGAGATTCTACTAACTCAAGGAGAGTACAAAGGGTTACAATCTCACAAAATCACTCAAATAAACTCTAAATCAAATCTCTCAACTTGCTCACAAGTTCTCCCTCTCAATATACTTAGTACAATCTAAAATCTCTGATTAGAAACGCTAGAAAATCGTGTTTTAATATATATCAAAACGCAAACCCAAAGCGAACAGGAAACCAAAACTCAAGCCCAACCCGACCCGCGGTCAACCGCAGAGACACGTGCAGTAGACCGGATCCAACGATAAAAAGCAGAAATCACTACAGGGTTTGGCCGATCGACCGCACTTGACACTGCAGTCGACCGCCAAAAGTCTAGAGATCTCCCCAGGTCTCGTGCATGTTTCCGGTCGACCGTGCCTGCCATTGTGGTCGACCGCTGGGAGCTCAAAACATTTTTCTGTCATTTTCTTGTATTCGCTTCAGGTATTACACTAGTTCTTTTTTTTTAAGTTTGTTGAACGATCAAAAGATTTTCGTTTGAATCTTAAGCTCTCGATCCAATGAGAAAGCTAACATTTGATTTCATTCCTTCGCGCTGCGGTCGCCCAAATGCGTGTCAACGTACATCAACAAGCATGCCGAAGCTTCTCCCTCAATTACGATCACCAAGAAACGAGAGAACACGCTATATTATCAAATTTTGCATATTATATTATTAAATTTTGCATATAATATCATATCTGATATCGCCATACGTGTCTTTAAGCAAGCAAGCGCTAACTCACCTACAACCAAACTCGCGCGTGGAGCTGCTTTAGCCCCATCCCATTTCCACCAACAAGACACCTAACAAAAAGCTAAACATGAAGCAACGCACCATCATCAAAAAAAAAAAAAAAAGCAATAATAATAAATAAAGAACTACAACAAAAAAAAAAAAAAAAGCAATAATAATAAATAAAGAACTAGTAAAACTTAAAATAAACTAAACCAAAGCAGAGCTTTAAAAATGAATAATAAAGGAGACAAAAAAAATAAACTAAACTAATCCGACTCTTCAGGAAACACACAGTAAATAATCCACATCACCTTCCTTTTTTACATACGCCGTGCCAGCCGCATAACACCATTTCCCTTTTAAAAAAAGAAAAAGAAGAAGAAGAAGAAGAAAGAAAAGACGACGACGACGAAGCATACCGACCACCAAAGCCAGCAACAAGCCACATAAATCGGATCGGCGAAATCACGGCCGGTCGGACTCGACGCAAGAGCAACGCGCCTCGCTTCCAGCCTAAGATCTGTCGAGGCTTCTCGCCCTTGACCACGAGGAGTTCGCGCGCGCGGATCGCCTCCCTCCCGTCCCTTGAATTCGACACCGCACGCGTTAGCTCTCCGCGGTACCCTGTGGGACCCACAGTTAGGATGGACCACGCACCTGCACCTGAACCCGTCAGCCCCACCCTTTCTTTCTGCAGGAAGCGAGCCCACCTGCCTCGCCAGCCGGACGCTCGGAGCCGCCGGAGCCTCCGCCTCGCCTCCTCCGCCGCCGCGAGATCTGGCACTTCGCGGAATGCCGTTCCGCCGTTACGATGACGGAGGAAGAAGCGCTGGAGCGATTTTCTTCGAACGGCGATCTTGCGACGAGGCCTGCTCTTCCTTGCAGCTGAAGCCGCTGTAGGCATTTTGAGCAGAGGTTTAGGGTCGCCGCGGCTCGAAGAGCCGCAGTTGTTAGCGCAGAGGGCGGTGGCCCTCTTGCAATCGCTGCTCTCGGCAATCGGCCAAACACCGATCAGATCAAACCCCGATCTGGACAAGATCAGATCAAAGGTCAGCTCTTTAAATCACGGATCGATCCAGAGAGGAGAATAGGTAACCGTTTGAAACAAAGAAATTCTTACGAGGAAACTTGAGGATTACCTTGAAATCGTGAACGGATTGAGAGAGAGAGAGAGAGAGAGAGAGAGAGAGAGAGGAAATTGGGAATCCGACGACGACGACGACGATGAATTAAGGAGAGAGAGAGAGAGAGAGAGAGAGAGGAGAACAAAAGGAGGCGATAAAGGCGGTTAGTTATTAGACATTAGATCTGGAGAATTCATAGCCCAGACTGTCAACTAATAAATAGGGATTTTGATCGGGGGGTGGGGGGAAAGAAAACCGAGGAAACGGTGGGAAAACGAAAACCACCAGCTGTATTTTCCCAGCTGTATCGATTATTGTACTCCCTCTCGCTTTCCTTCCTCCTCCGCCCGCTCATACAACAACCTCATTCCCGCAGTTGCCATCTCCTGAGCTTTATTATTACGAGAATGCCACCGACCAGCGGCTTTTGTGTTTTCACGCGGCGAGTTGGCGGGCTCTCTGGTATTCGCGTAACGAAGCGGTAACAGCGAGGGTACTATTGGAATCAATGCTGACAGAAGCAGGAGCATAAGCATTCCGTACTTTGTGTGTGGGCCCCGGGGTCACGAAAAAAATTGTTAAAGTGAGAAGGAGGAGGGAGAAATTTTGCAGAATATTGCATGCAGCTGGGCTCGCTCGGTGACACGTGTCGTAGATACCGCT